AAAAAAAAAAAAAAAAAATTCAGCATACTCAGTTAAAATTTCTTTATTAGCTAAGTTACACATGTATTTGCATAAATAACTTGCACTGACTTCTTTATGTTATAATAAAGCCATGCAAAAATTTCATGTATCGAAAACTTAAAATAAAATAACACAATCAATACACCGAGTGCCACTGTAACCGAGTATACTAACTCGCAAGCTATAAATTTTGCCGTGTCACATATAAATTTATCGTTATTGCATCGTAAATGTCGAGCACACATATGCTTTCCTTTGTGTCACAATATACATTTAAGGTAATCGTATACAGTACAAATAACGATGAAACTCAAATTATGTTTTTAAAACAGACATAACAAGTGTTTTGTACAAGTATTTGTCAAATTCAAAGATACATTAATTACAATCTCTGTTTATATTTTCAACTTTTTTAAATGTCATTGTGCCGATATAAATACCAACGTAAAGCTTTTTTATAATTATAAATCAAAAGCACATTAAATCAAAGTAAATGACATGTGCCGACGGAGGTGCGGGTCAATTGTATAAAATCGAAACTCATTAAATCGTTAGTAAATATTAATTGTTGTCCCAATGTGTTCGCCGTATTTAATAATAAATAAGGTTGCGCTACAGCTACTACTATTGTGCTTATAATCCCGCTTTACAATATAAACTCGTTATATGCAACAAATATTAGATGAGATGACCGGCTTACCAAGTTGTATAGTCCAAAGTCTAATGCATTGACAGTGTCCATTGTTGAGGCATTGTACAGTGAAATGAGATAAGGGAAAGTCCTCAACTTTGATAAAGGATTTACTCTGAATAATATGGAACCAATTTATTTCGTCATGAAAGCATCCTGGTGTACTTATTCTAGTTAATAAATATATTAATGGAAGAAGATAGCAAATACAGGTTCATAATTTGAATATGGTAAAAGTCTACGTATAAAAAATATCGTTGTATTTTTATAATTTATCACGTTCAAATCTGGAAGGAGATAAAAAAAGGTCAGTAGGCTAACGGCGAAGTGAGCTTGTTATCATTAAAATTCAACATCTAACTCGAGTTCGCAGTATGTATGACTACCATGCGGCCGACATTCATCGAGTTAGTGTCGACATTAACATAACTTTGACATGATTTAATAATATACACGAAGAGTGGTTTGCGGAATTAATATTACCATTATACGTCCTAAGTAAGGGATGACTAGGCCACAGTCTACCACGCTGGCCCACTGCGGGTTGACATCACACATATTTTCTTCGCCGATATGTGCATGTTGCTTTACGATGTTTTCCTTTACCGTTAGAACGTCGGGTAACTTATGTTGGTACGCATGAAATTCTAAAATCATAAGTCACATTTGTACATGGCGAGATTCGAACCTGAAACTTGTATAATACAAGTCAAATGCTTAAACCCCTGAACCATCAACAGTCTGGAATTAATATGTGAACGAATAATTCGCGATATCTACATACTTTGAAACTTCTTTGACAGAATGTAGATGTTAAACGCTACGTTATTTTTCCTACAATGTGTTATTTTTACG